CTGCCCCCTGCCTGTGTCAGCCAAGTTCATTGCCAAGAGAGGGAAGTGACAGAGCAGAAATTGGGAACAAAGGACTGTAGAAGAAAAAAAAAATTACAAGTAAGTCATCTAAAAAGCAATAAAGTAATAGTAATATGAATAATGATTGTGTATATATATTTTAAAAACAACATCCTGATAAATCTCATTCTGATTCTGAAATTTAGGTGAGAGACTAGATCGTAGGCAGAACTAGGAACAGGGACAAACAGACCTTATCATTGCAAAGAGGCTACTACCTAGAAAGAATTATTCAAGCCCAAGTTTTTCAAGCATAATGTTAAACTAAGCAAGGGCAAAGATACCCAAATGGATCCATCCCATCCCATCTACAATTAAACTAAGGAGAGAATCACTTGAGCTCCTTCCAAAGAATGTTAAGTAAACAGATTTTATTCAATCTTTCCTAGATTTTATATGAATACTTGTTATTTAATGTGGTAGTTAATTACAGTTTTACTGTATGAGCGATAGAACATTTAGTGAATCTGCCGGGCGTGGTGGCTCACGCCTGTAATCCCAGCACTTCGGGTGGCCGAGGCGGGTGGATCACGAGGTCGAGATCCAGACCATCCTGACCAACATGGTGAAACCCCGTCTCTACTAAAAATACAAAAATTAGCTGGGTGCGGTGGCACACACCTGTAGTCCCAGCTGCTCGGGAGGCTGAGGCAGAAGAACTGCTTGAACCTGGAAGGCAGAGGTTGCAATGAATCAAGATCGCGCCACTGCACTCCAGCCTGGTGACAGAGCGAGACTCCATCTCAAAAAAAAAAAAAAGAAAAAAAAAGAATGTTTGGTGAATCAGATTAACAAACCGGAAATGATCATACCCTCTAAGACACTCTTCTAGAAGCACACTAGTCCCACTGACTCATGTTACAAATTCAAGTTGGCATCCAACTAATTTGTACAATGTGTTATCCGGATGTTTCTGCAATTATACCACCTGAAGAGGGTCCCTGTCAGTCTCTGATAGGATAATATTTATCTTATTCTCCAAGTGAGAACCCAGCATATCTCGAAGGTCAGAAAGAAAGCCTCGTTCAGTGTTGCTATGTTCACAGAGGATGACATTTATTCCTTGGGAAGCAGCATCCAAAATATCATGATGGGACATCTCACCTACCAAAAAGGAAACAGCAAATTCTTAAATGCTAGATATGGAATCTGTGGAATGAGGAAACACAAAAGCAGAAATACCAAGTTTATATTCTATATAAAGTGAATGTAATACAGCAGAACTATTATAAATCTAGAAAGTACTGTACAGTTTTCTTTTATGTCCTCCAACTTAAAAACAGAGAAAAGTCTGGGCACGGTGGTTCACGCCTGTAATCCCAGCACTTTGGGAAGCCTAGGCAGGGGGGTCACCTGAGCTAAGGAGTTCCAGACCAGCCTAGCCAACATGGTGAAACTCCATCTGTACTAAAAACACAAAAATTAGCTGGGTGTGCTGGCGTGCGCCTGTAATCCCAGCTACTCAGGAGGCTGAGGCGGGTGAATTGCTTCAGTATGGGGGCTGGAGGTTGCAGTGAGCCGAGATTGCATCACTGCACTTCAACCTGGGTGACACAGCAAGACTCTGTCTTGAAAATATAATAAAATAAAAATAAAAGCCATCCCATTGAGAATTTCAACTTCTTTTTCCTTGGCAGACCCCAAGGCAATTGTCCAATCCAACATATCTGGCCAGAACCAGATCTGTAAACACTCATTTTACTGTGTTTCCACCGTAAAAAGAATGACCACTGCTAAGTAAAATGAGGCCTTCAGAAAATCTGCCTCTTATGTAATAAATACCTCTGGAGGACATTCTGTGTATACTGCCCAGCAGACTTAGGCTTTGTAAGCACCAGTATTTCTGTCGTCAACTTAGTCTAATATACAAGGATGAAATGAATTTAAGATTATTTCCAGATTAAAACAAAGTATTTTTCTTTGACTTAAGCAAAATCCCTAGAAACTCTGGAGGGAATCTCATCTGTTGTGAAAAGATTTGGGGAAAACTCAAATATTCTGAATTTTTAATTTATTTATATTTGTATTTATTTTTTAGATGGAGTTTTGCTCTATCGCCCAGGCTGGAGTGCAATAGCATAATCTCAGCTCACTGCAACCTCTGCCTCCTGGGTTCAAGTGATTCTCCTGCCTCAGCCTCTCGAGTAGCTGGAATTATAGGCACCCACCACCAAGCCTGGCTAATTTTTGTATTTTTAGTAGAGACGGGGTTTTACCATGTTGGCCAGGCTGGTCTCGAACTCCTGGGCTCAAGTGATCTGCCCGCCTCGGCCTCCCAAAGTGCTGGGATTACAGGTGTGAGCCACCGTGTCCAGCCTAATATTCTGAATTTTTAAAAATGCAGTTTGTGAATTTGATGACTTGTAATTTAAGAGCAAAACTGCACTGTGTACAATTTGGTTTGTTCTTTAGAAAGTACAATTTTGAACTGTATTTAGAGACAGAAGGGCATACAAATTTAAGAAAAAAAAGGTTCTTAGAAAAAAAATTGAGTTTTTTCTCTAATTTTCCCACAAGAAAACATCTGTAAGTAAAAAATAAGTTTTCTTAATTCGAGAATTTTTCAGTTCCCCACACTCTTCTAATAAGTGTCATCTCATTATAAGGAATAGTTTTTATTCAAGCACCTTTTAAAACATCTTAATCTATAATAGTAAAAGTAAAAAGCAAGAAAAAGACACTAAGATGACCCAGTTGGAAGCCTTGTTTTAGGAAAGATAAGTCTGGCTGCCTGTACTGTGACAAACTCATTGGCCGGAGAAGGCATGAAAGGGGGGAAATCTGTGAAGACCCTGCAATAATTGCTGAAGCCAACGGAAAGAAAAGCTTGGCCCAGGATGGCAGCTTGGGAAAGGAAAAGCAAATGGAGAATGAAACGACAAATGAGAGAACTTACATTTGCAAGGAGCAGGCTCCCCATCTGCTGGTCTTACAGGGTGTTACCCTTAACAACCTAATACAACGAGAACACGGCCTCAGGCTCACAGGAAGCGTGATGAAGTTCAGCAGAGGTCCTTTAGGAGGGGCTTCGCATCTCTGAAGTTACACTCAAAAGCAATGCCTCACAGACCAGAGACATCTAATGCTAGCCAGGTAATATTTTCTATTTCTCCCCACAGCGAGATAGGAAGGACATTTTAACATTTTGGAACTGCCTGAATTTATTTTATGAACATATCATTATATTTTATCACTTTTTTAAAAAACTAGTTTTTAAAAAAGTATTTATGAGGAAATAGATACCCCAAATTGAGCGAGAAGCATAAAACAAAGAGCCTATACTCTTTTAAAAATGTCAATGTTATGAAGACAAAGCTGAGGAACTATTCCAGACTGAAGGAGACTAACAATAACTAAATGCAATGTGAGATCATGGGCTGGATATGGATCAGAAAAAGAAATGCTATAAACTTTTATCAACTGGAAAAATGTGAATATGGACTGTATATCAAGTAAATGTTTTAACAATATTAAATTCCCTCATTTGATAATTGTTCTATAGACTTAGAATGTCTTTGTTCTTAGAAGACTATACACTGAAGTATTGAGAGGTAAAGAAATTGTCATGTCTGCAATCGATTTCTAAAATGGTCCTGGGGGAAATACATCTATATATATATATCTATATATCTATATATAAAATTTTTAACTTGTATATTATATATCTATATATGCATACACAAATGTATACAGACACATATATAATATGTACATAAAGAATGTACAAATATGGCAGAATATAACCATTAGTAACCAAGGTGAAGAGCATATAGGAGTTCATTGTACTATTCTTGCAACTTTTGCATAGGTCTGAAATTCCTTCTAAGTAAAATGCTAAAATGAATTTTAAAATAGCCAGACACAATGCTGTAAGATATTCATATTGAAATTTCACTTTAATCTGGTAGAAATTTAAGGACTTACAAAAATCTTTTATCTTCAGAAGAATGGAAAACAGGTAATAGTCATATACATGTTTTTTTTTTTTTAATCAATTTATTGGTTTAGAGCAGTTCCATCAGGCTTTCTCAGATGCTGCTCCTTGGTACTTCGGGATGTGACAATGCTTTCAGTGCAGCAGCCTTTGTAAGAGAGTGTGCTACACAACAAGGCATGGGTGTGGGAGGCAAGGGAAGCATGGAAGTAGCCAAAGGAATGGCCAGAGGGCTAAGAGTCTAGAGCCTGGTCCTCGAAGTGGGAAAAGTAATTCTTTAACTCATTCTCTCCTAACCCTAAGAAGGAGGAGGTAAACAAACTGGCAACCCATTAAAATGTCTTCAAATCCTTTGCAGGTATAATGGGCCATGTTTGGTCACATTCCTGAGTAGTAACTACGTGAAGTAATTCTTTCAATAAAAACTAGCCAGGACCTATTAGGTAGTATCCTTAAGGAGAGAGTGTAAGGCCCAGGAGCCAATTACTGTCCAACAGAAGTGCACACTGGAGATCAAGGACAAAGTGATAGGGACCCACAAGAGGCAGAAGCAGGACAGTGTCAGAGAAGGCTTCTCAGAGGGGGTGCTCACTTATCACGAGGAGAACAAGGAACAGGCATTCTAACCAAAGAAAACAGCATATGCAAAGGGTACAAGAAAGAGGATGCAATGTTCAGGCTCTACCAGACAGATGAAGGAAATCACTGAAGTCTTTTTAGTCAAGACCATCAAATACGCACTGTGAAAAGTTAATTTCAGGAGAATATATGGAAGATAACATTAGAGGGTTGATGCTGTACTTCAAGTAGGAGACACTGCCTGGACAGATAAGGGGGAAGATTCTAGAAAGATTTGGGAGCTTGAATTGATAGGAATTGATGATTGGCTTTAGGCTAAGAGGAACCATTTCCTAGCTACGGTGACAGGGTAGAAAGTATCCCACTGACGTGAAATCTGAGAGGTTTGGGACAGTTTAGGAAGAATGTAGGTAAAATAAATGCTGACCATTAATTTTTGAGATAATAAATTGTTCAATGATTTCATCCCTCCACAAAGAACGCAGTATGTCCCAGTTCTGTTGTAGTTTCTGTTTAGTTCAAGTTTAAAAAACATTAATTAGGTATCATCTATGTGCCAGGTACTGTCCTAAAATCTGCCATTTTTGATTTTGCAAAAAATAAACCAAGAGAGATCCAAAGTCTGTCCTACCTGTGAGGTAAAGGTCAGCCTTGACACCCTGCAGAACGCTGCTCCCAGAACCAGCACACAGGGCCACAACTTTGACTTGAGACTCTTCAAGACAAAGGAAACAAGAGACCAATACTTTACAATTCCCTTTCTTTTTACTATTATAATTTGTACCAAGAATCCTAAACATAATACAGATTTTACTCCTGGTCTCATCACGAGTATACGAATTGTTCTTTCTGCATGTAAAAAAAAAACATGTTTTAATATAAGCAAACAGGTCATTCTTTTGATATTGCATAGCTAACCCAAGGTGCAGTTATTATTCCTTTTTTTTTTTTAACTAACAACCTTTGTGAATTGCACAAAATATGGAACAATGCACAAATTTGCGTGTAATCTTTGCATAGGCGCCATGCTAATCTATATCATCCAATTTTTAGTATATGTGCTGCTGAAGGGAGTACCGTTATTCCTTTGACATGGCTGCACACTCACAAACCACTGAATAGTACTAATGGTGCAGCTCCAGGCAGTACTGCAACGTTGCTGGGTAAAGTAATCTCACCTGGGTCTTCAGACAACAGTGAGAGGTAGGCAAGTACTATCTCTATTCTCAGGGGAGGAAGCTAAGGAACTAAAAGGACTAGTGAGAAAGAGGAATGCTACGAATGGAATTGGCACATATTTTTAAATATACTATTTATTCTCAAAAAGCATCCTCTGAAAAGTGAAATAACCGCAACTTTTGAACCAAAATCCAAGTATTTAGCACTTGGGTTTCTAAAATGGACACTTCTTCAGTGGTCACTCCAGTTCAGCAGCACGGTATCTCAAAGATGGGGCTTTGGAGTTATTTTGGAAGTCAAATCCCACCTCTGCTATCCATTTTCTTTGGACACTTAACTCCCTTGGGTTGTTTGATCTAACTGGACTTTTGCATAAGTTACTCATATGGTTTGGCTCTGTGTCCCCATCCAAACCTTACCTTGAACAGTAATCCCCATAATTCCCACGGGTCCAGGGCAGGACCAGGTAGAGGTAATTGGGTCATGGGGGCAGTTCTCCCATGCTGTTCTCGTGATAACGCGTGAGTCTTATGAGATGTGATGGTTTCATAAGCGTCTGGCATTTCCCTCGCTTGCACTCATTCTCTCTTCTGCCACCCCGAGAAGAGGTGCCTTCCACCATGATTGTAAGTTTTCTGTGGCCTCCCCAGCCATGCAGAACAATTAAACCTCTTTTCTTTATAAATTAAACCTCTTTTCTTTATAAATTAAAGAGTCAATTAAACCTCTTTTCTTTATAAATTACCCAGACTTGGGCATTTCTTCATAGCAGTGTGAGAATGAACTAATACAGTTACTTATCTCTCTGAACCAAAACTGTTCACCTATAACATAGGAGAAATAGTACCAACCACAAAGCTAACAACAGCTAGCACTTTAACTATACTTAATGTGAGCCAGTCACTGTGCCATGTCACATGGATTATACTACCACCCTCTGAGTTAGGTTTTATTATTAATGCAGTTTTTACCAATGAGACTACTGGGACACAGAGGGCATAAACAACTTGTCAAAGACATGCAGCAAACAGACAGGACAGACAAATCTGAAGCCAGGTTGTCTGAGCTCAGAATCTATACCTATAACCACTATGCCCCACTGCTTTTGCCAGTGGGAGCTCACACACTCAGGACAGACAATCAGTACAGTGCTAGGTTCACTGCAGGTGTTGAACAAATGTCTGTTCACTTTGTTCTCAAAAGTACCGGGAAAGGCCAGAAGAAAAAATACAAGACTTAGAAACTGCAATGGATCAGATCACTCAGTGGCACCTCACTAGAAAATATTACCAGTCTTGTAAGTGCAAAATTTATGTTGTAATTGTAGCAATCATGATTCCAGCTCTCCTCCTGACATATGGTAAGACTGCACTTTATGCCTCCCTTGGTTGTATTGGATAACATGACTAATTCTGGAAAATAAGTTGAGCAGAAATGAACATGTTTCCTGGAATTTTGAACTGATGGTTTAAGACCCTGCAAAACTCTCTCCCTCTGCAACAACCACCAGTCTACAATGGCCAGACTTCCTAAAATAACCAACTTGAAATGAACACATAGCATGACAGAGAAATAAATCTCATTGATTAGGCCAATGAGATGTATTCCACAGCAGGACCTGGCCTACCCTAATCAATAAAGTAAACCAATGATCTCCTATGAGCTGCTAACACATTCTCTATCACATATTAATACAATCAAGAGTTTCAACCTTTGTCCAATGTTAACAGTAGGCATACTGGATAAATGAAGGAGCAATATTTACCTAAGGTTCTCCCCACCCCAAGGGCTAAGCGAATATGAGATAGTTTTAGGTGTCTTTTGATTCGATCAATCATGGTTGCCAGGGAGACAGATTCATCCAGTGTGCATAAGCGTCCCATTCCAGTATGTAGAAGCAAAGGCTGAGGAGAAACAGAAGTTAGAAACGGTGTCCACTGTCAGTCCTAAAACAACAAATGCTAAAATCAATCAGTATGCACACTGTGAGGTTACTACAGCAAGCTCCAGGCTAAATGTGGGGACACAAACCTGACAAAATCATTCTTCTAGGAGCTCACAGTTTCCTAGGAAGGCAGATGTTTAAATCCATAATCAGGCCAGGCACGATGGCTCATGCCTATAATCCTAGCACTTTGGGAGGCTGAGGTGGGTGGATTGTTTGAGCTCAGGAGTTTGAGACCAGCCTGGGCAACATAGTGAGACTTCCTCTCCATTAAAAAATCCAAAAATTAGCCAGGCATGGTGACGTGCACCTGCACTCCCAGCTTCTTGGGAGGCTGAATGGGAGGTGGGCTTGAGCTACCCAAGAGGCAGAGGTGAGCTGAGATTATACCACCGCACTCCAGCCTGGGGACAGAGCCAGACCCTGCCTCAAAAATAAATTAATTAATTAAACAAAATAATAAAACTGTTTAAATTCAAGGTAGGTTCTACAGTTGCAGCAGCACAAGGAATGACAAACTAAATGAGCTGTGACTTGGGAGGCTTGGGGAGTACTTGGAGGAAGGACTCAGGTCTTAGAGAAAACCCTAAAAGAGTTAAAAAGGGGGAAATAAAAAAGTTTGAAAGGGCGGTGATGTCAAGTGCAGTGTGGCAGGACAGAGGTACGATGAGATGAAGAAAGGCACTCTAAACAGAGAGAACATGGACAAAGGTGCCAAAGACTTGAGAGAACACACTGTGGGGGTAGATCCAAACGAAGACAGTATGGCTACTGTGCAGAGCACGTGCTGTGGAAGGAGAGGAGGCTGGAGGCCCAGGCTGTAGCAGATCATTAAGGGCTTCCGACACCATGCTAAAGAGCCTGGACTGCCTCCTAGGTGCTCGGTGAGACAACTCTCATCACAGAAAATGAGAGTTTCAACTCCTGTGGTGGCAGAGCCAATACAGAGGAGAAACACTGTATAGATATGAGGCCAGAATCAGCAGGGCTTGGAGTCAAGGAGGAGTATGAAAACTTGGAAACTAAAGTAGATAATGATACTGAAATATGAAATATATATTAAAAAAAAGGGGGGGGTGGCACAGGGATAAAGTATTTGGATATATTGAATTTGAAATACTTGTGGGCTCTGTAAGGGCAAAACATCCAGAAAGTAGTTGAAAATATGGATTCTTGTCATTTTTTCCCTTAAGAAAGCATTCTAAGCCAAAAAGTAAAGATAGGAATCATCATCATACAAATGGCTATCAAGTGAAAGAGTGAATGACATGGTCCAGGCAGAGGGTATAAAATAAAGAGAGAGCAAACCTGTAACCAAATCTGTAACCCTGAAGAAGTACCACTATTTTCCTATTCCTGGAATGTCTCCCTTTCTCAATTACTTCCTAGAGAATATTATGCTCTCATTGCCATTTTGTACTTTAGGTAACAGTGAATGGCCTGTTGATCTAATAATTTACAAATGAATTTGCTGAAGAAAAATGCAAAGTAATGATACTTATCAAACTGTACACATCAAATATGTACAATTCTGAGTATATCAGTTATACTTCAATAAAGCTGAAAATGCACAGTATTTTAAGATCAAACACAAAATATTTTTATTACCTTCTCCAGCGACAGAATTTCTGTCTTCTGATAAAGTTGTTTGTTCTGAGAAAGAAAATCTACCACCTGCATCAAAGCCTTCTCAGTACAATTCAGACTAATCCGTGTTTGTTCCTCATTATCAATCCTAGGGGGGAAAAATTACTCCATTTAGGCCAAATATAGCCAAAATGTATTTTACATAATCCACAGTTTACAAACTTACTATAATAGGAGATTAGATTTATGTAGAACTAAGGATTTAACCAACAGAACCCATTTAATCTGAAACTAATGCATTTTCTAGAATAGCATTTCTCTAAGTCTACTATGCATCAGAATCACCTGGAGGATTATTAAAACACAGATTGCTGGGTCCTACCCCTGGAGTTTCTGATTCATTATATCTAAGTGGGGGTCTGAGAGTTTACCTTTCTAACAAGTTCCAGGTGATGCTGATATTGCTGTTCCAGAGACCTCACTTTGAAACCACTGTTCAAGAACTGTTCTCAATCCCGATTGTGTATCAGAAATTTCCTGGCCAGGCACGGTGGCTCACACCTGTAATCCCAGCATTTTGGGAGGCCAAGGTGGGCGGATCACTTGAGCCCAGGAGTTCAAGACCAGCCTGGGCAACATAGCAGGACCCCATTTTATTTTTTTATTAAAAAATTAAAGTTAAAAAAAAAAAAAAGGCCAGGCACAGTGGTTCACACCTGTAATCCCAGCACTTTGGGAGGCCGAGGTAGGTGGATCACCTGAGATCAGGAGTTCAAGACCAGCCTGGCCAACATGGTGAAACCCCATCTCCACCAAAAATACAAAAAAAAATTAGCCGGGCGTGGTGGGGGGTGCCTGTAGTCCCAGCCACTCCCCAGTGGCTGAGGCAGGAGAATCACTTGGACCTGGGAGGCAGAGGTTACAGTGAGCCGAGATTACGCCACTGCACTCCAATCTGGGCAACAGAGTAAGACACTGTCTTAAAAAAAAAAAAAATTCCTTCTAGCTTCTTAAAATAACAGGTGCTGGATCCTTCCACAGAACCAGTGAAACAGAACATCTACGAATGGGGCTGGGGCAAACTGAATTTTTTTAAAGCCTTAGAGATAATTTTAAAACACTGAATTTGAGAATGTCTTGGACAGATTCTCAGGCAAACTCCATTCTAATTACCAGATCTGAGATGAATACAAAAATCTGCATTTTAAATAAGCACCTCATTAACAATCATGCAGGGGGTCCTTGGATCACCCTCCAGAGCCTCTCCAAAATTACTGGCATCAAGAAAGTTTCACATTTAACCATAAATTCTAAATATAATCATAAAATTCTAGAACTAAAGGACACCTTTAAAGATAATCTAGAAGCATTAATTATAAACTCTGCAATCATCTGTGAAATTTTTAAAAAAGAAAGAAAACCAATGCCTTGGTCCCTATCTAGTGGTAAAACTCAGATATTATCTACAATATGGAAAAGCTGGAATCGAACTAAAAAGTCCATCAGTAGGAAGAGGAATGCTTAAAGAAACTACCGTTCATCCATAATAAGAAACACTACAAGCAATTAAAAATAATGAGAGGTTAGGCTGGGGGCAGTGGCTCATGCCTGTAATCCCAGCACTTTGGGAAATCAAGGTGGACACATGGCTTGAGCCCAGGAGTTTGACACCAGCCTAGACAACAAGTCAAAACCCTGTCTCTACAAAAGATACAAAAATTAGCCAGGCATGGTGGCAAGTTATAACTATAGTCCCAGCTATTAGGGAGGCTGAGGTGGGAGGATGGCTTGAGCCTGTGAGGTCAAGGCTGCAATGGGCTGTGATCATGCCACTGCACTGCAGCCTGGGTGATGAAGTGAGACCTTGTCTCTCAAAAATAAAAAATAAAAAAACAGCTGGGCACCATGGCTCATGCCTATAATTCCAGCACTTTGGGAGGCTGAGGCAGGCAGATCACGAGGTCAGGAGTTCAAGACCAACCCACCCAACATGATGAAACCCCATCTCTACCAAAAATACAAAAAAAAATTAGCCAGGCATGGTGGCGGGCGCTTGAACCAGGGAGGCGGAGGTTGCAGTGAGCCAAGATTGTGCCACTGCACTCCAACCTGGGTGACAGACCTAGACTTCATCTCAAAAATAATAATAAATAATAAACAAACCAAAAAAACTCCTATCTCTGCCCTAAATAATGATTGACCTTATAAAGAGGCACTTAATGTATTTTTCACTTGAAGTGCTTGGCACCTATAGTCCCAGCTAATTAAGAGGCTGAGGTGGGAAGACTGCTTGAGACCAGCAGCTTAAAGCCATGGCAAGCTACGATCATACCACTGCACTCCAGCATGGGAATCGCTTTTTTTTTTTTTTGAGATGGAGTCTCACTCTTGTTGCCCAGGCTGGAGTGCAATGGAGTGATCTCGGCTCGCTGCAACCTCCGCCTCCTGGGTTCAAGTGATTCGCCTGCCTCAGCCTCCCGAGTAGCTGGGATTACAGGCAGGCGCCACCAAACCCAGCTAATTTTGTATTTTTAGTAGAGACGGGGTTTCTCCATGTTGGTCAGGCTGGTCTCGAACTCCTGACCTCAGGTGATCCACCAGCCTTGGCCTCCCAAAGTGCTGGGATTATAGGTGTGAGCCACTGCGCCCAGCCTGGGAGTCTCTTAAAACAAACAAACAAAGATTATTCAGAAAAGTATTTCCCATGATGTTAAATTAAAAAACTGATTTATGAAAATATATATTTAAAATGTAAAGATAAATATAAAAAAGAAAGTGCTTGGAAATCACTGATTTGCTGGGAACCAATAAAAGCCTCATCACCACATCACTAGGATCTATCTGTGTTCTCTAAAGTGAAAACAACTATCTTTGAACATCACCAGGATTAGAAATACTGTATATAAAATGCATAGTATAGTCCCCTGACATAGAAAATACTTAATAAGTGTTACTTATTGTTTTTATTGTTTTGAAAAAATTCCATAGGTCTCCATGACCCACAGACAAATGAGGAGTATGCTGCTTTGTAAACCAACTCCAGAGAAAATTATTTGTTTCAAGCCTAAATACCAGGGTTATAGACTTTGTAAGGAAGATGCTTACAAATAAATACACACAAAAAAAAGAGAAAAATAAATTGTACCTAGCAGAAAAAGAAGTGACAGAAACATCATCAATTCCTTTCACTGCAGACATGACTTTGTCCAGGGCTTGGGTGTGGCTAACGTTGAATTCTACTCGGTGGTTTCCCTCTGTAGGGTAGTTGGGAGCTTTGGAAGGATGTATGGGCCTGGAGGTACAAGCTCCTAGAGAAAATATTGTGGGAAAATGGGAGTTTTGGGGGGTTAGAGGTTAACATTTAAAAGTAAGATAAACTATTATAGGCAAAATTTCTAAGAAATGACTTTTTTAAAAGATTCATTCTCATGCTTATATGACATACACACACATACATATATCCTTTAGATATACATCACCAGTCCCCTAGGGCTTTGGTATGGATGTACAAAATCAAATTATTTCAGAATTATTTTCCAAAAGATTCTTAAATCTCTGAAAAACTTGGACAAGAAAGACTGATTCATACATTTTCAGATAATACACAGAATGGTCTACTGTTTGGTAAATCTACCCATGTAAACCATCATTCAGGTTGCAAATGCTCATACTTTATTTGACCACATTAATCCAGATATCATCATAAAAGCTTCAGCCCAAAATGAGTGAACAAAAGACTTATTAAAGTAAAGCTAAAATCCATACATCATTCCCTAGGCATAAGTAAACATTCACTAAAAACATTCACTAAAACCCAGATATCTATTTGCCTGATTTATCAATCAAGTGTATTCTGGAGAGACCTGAGCTTTCAATTCAACAAGCATTTTTCAAGTGCCCGGGTGACAGGCATTGTGCCACAAAAGTGAGGAGTCACGAAGTTCAGCCCAGTAAGGAAGACTTCTGCTCTCCTAACTCCATAAGAATTAAAAATGTTTCCTTTTTCAAATGCAATTTAACTGCCAAATTTCAGCAACATTATTTTAAATGTATTATACAAAAATGGAATCATACCCTCCCCAACCCTAAAGCAGTTAAAACTTTACTGGAAAGACATTCTAAGGTTTCAAAGTATTTGCAGGGAAAATATCAAATATGAAAGAAGCTTCTCACCAAGCCCTTTAGCCAACCAGTTGTTGACGCCCTGGGGTGCAGCATCATAGGCTGTGTGAGGAGAGTAGATACCGACTCTGTTCTCCAGAGCCTGGATCACCAGGCGCTCCTTCCAGGTGTTCCAGGTTATGCGCTTCATGGGTCGGAAGATAGGCGGATGGTAGGAGAGAATGAGGTCTGCCTTCTTTTGCAGGCCCTCCTCCATCACTTCCTCAGTCAGGTCATTGGTCAGGAAGAGCGTATTTACAGTATGTGGTGGGCTTGGTTCCACCAGTAATCCAACATTGTCCCAACTCTCAGCAAAGGAGAGGGATGCAAAGTCATTCAAGGAAGAAAGGAGAGCCTTCAAATCCATGAAGGAACGGGAAGAACTGCAGATCAGAGAATCTACAAACCGGACTGTCGTGGGGACCGGGCGTACACAAGATGACAACATACAGAAATCAGGTAAAGTTCAAGTTTCTGAAGTCAAAACAAAGAAAATGGTACACAGGTACACTTTAGGCCTGGATCTTTGAGGCATCAAAGCATATGGGCAAAAGAACTGTCATCATAGAGATCTGGGTTCAAATAGTGGCTCTGCCACTTACCAGCACACAGTAACTTAGGTAAACCATTTAACCTCTCCAATCTTGTTTTCTCACCTACGAAACGGAGATACTATAGCCCACCTCACAGGCCATCCAGAGGAGCAAATGAATTATGTAACCTAGCAAAGCCTGGTACATAATACACAAACATCCATCCCATCTCCTGCCTCACACACCCTTGTTCTTATTCTCCCTGCCCTTGCTTCAACCAACCTCCTCCCTAATCCATTTCTCTAAATATTACCCTTCCTTTTCCCAAACCCCCTTCAACTTCTTAAATAAAACTTTTCTTGACCTCCCTTTTCAGCATCCTTCCCAAGGCTCCCAACCCCTCAGTATTCTCATTATTGTGTGTGCCCATTATGCTAAAGCTACTATGGAATAGGAACTATCTTTAATAAATCTCAGTATCGCTAATATAAGCCAGCACTAACTGCTTACTACATAGAATGACACTGCTCACCTCCCCTGATTGCAACAGAATTTGGAGTTGGGGTGGTATATACTGACATTACAATGTGCTTTACCAAAAAACAGAATAATGTGGCGGGGCGCCTGTAATCCCAGCACTTTGGGAGGCCGAGGCAGGAGGATCACGAGATCAAGAGATAAAGACCATCCTGGCCAACATGGTGAAACCCCGTCTCTACTAAAAATACAAAAATTAGCTGGGCATGGTGGCGTGCACCTGTAGTACCAGCTACTTGGGAGGCTGAGGCAGGAGAATCGCTTGAACCGGGGAGGTGGAGGTTGCAGTGAGCCAAGATCGTGCCACAGCACTATGGCCTGGGCAACAGAGTGAGACTCCGTCTCAAAAAAAAAGGAATGTTTAAAATGTCAAGTGCTTTATCAGAATCAAGAATCAAGGAATACATAGGCAGGTCACTCTACAAATGGGCAGGGTCAAGGCAGAAGAAGGGAGAAGCCACTGCCCCTTAAGCAACATTTGCTACACAAAGGCCAGGCTCAAGAGGTGGAAGAGGGTAAGGTATAGGGTACTTTTCCCATGTAGCCTGTAAGCCTTCTAAATATCTACATCCAACAAGGAACTGAAAAGGTTGGCAAAAGAGGAAAGGTGGGAGGGCAATGGAAAGGTAGAAAAAAACTGCTGGCTCCAAAATATGCACAATTAGTAAATGTTTAATCAAATAACCACAAAAGATAATGCTGTCAACCCCATTCTTAAACCTACCACTTATAAACTGTTTGAAGAAAAGCATTTCATAGTATGCACAATAAGAAAGCATAGCCAACTGTAAATTTGATGAAATATCCATAAGCCAATTATTCCAAAAGCAATTTTTCAACGTTTCTATTTAATGAGATGAGGATGCTTATTTAATACATTATTTGAAGTGATACGGGGTCTCCAAAAACCACTCGAGGTCTTGTAAGTTTGTTTTTGTTTTCTTTTTGAGACAGGGTTTCACTAGTTGACTAGGCTGCAGTGCAGGGGCGTGATCTCTGCTCACTGCAGCCTCGACTTCCTGAGCTCAAGCAGATCCTCCCACCTCAGCCTCCTGAGTAGCTCGGACTACTGGCGCGGAACACCACACCTGGCTAATTTTTGTATTTTTAGTAGAGACAGAGATTCACGATGTTGCCCAGGCTGGTCTCAAACTCCTGCACTCAAGTGATCCCCCTGCCTCGGCCTCCAAGAGTGCTGGGATTACAGGCGTGAGTCACCGCGTCCGGCCTTGGAAGATCTTCTAATGGTCCTCATAGTACTCCGTTCTCCAGCATCTTCTACATCTGGTAAGCTCGAAAGAGAAACCCTAGTGGGCCACCATTCAGGTTTTGAGTTATTTACTGCAACAGATGAGGAAACTGCGAGGCTACATGGCCACAGTCAACAACAACAGGAGGCAGGATAGTATGGTGGTTAAGAGCACCGACTCTGAAGCCAGTCTGAATCCGAGAGCCAGAGCTGTGCAACAACAGGTAAATGACTTACCTATGCATTTTCCTTCTAAAAGGAAGTAGTGCCCAGGCCACAATATCGCGAGACTTATATGTAAAGCTGCAAACAGCTCCTGTCCTAAATTAAGCACTGTTACTACTAAGTAGCATCAGTAGGGCCCCTTTGCAAGTTGCAAACCGCTCCCTCAACGTTACCTCATCTACGCCTCATTTCAGCGCCACTTCAGGCCTTTTCCAGGGCAGTGAAAAACCACGAGACACAGCCAGTAAGTCTGAGTCAGGACCCCTGACCCATTAGTGCGCTGTGCTCTCGTGCGGCAGGGCAGTTTTCTGACCCAACCTCTTCTGCTCTGCTCTGCAGCACCAACACAACAATCACAGCCGACCCCAACCGGCACCTACCGCGAAGATCACAACTACACTCGCGGGTTTTTAAATCGCCCACTACTCACCAGTCCCGGAAACTTCGCTGCGTCACTTCCGGTCCTGCGTCGGCGCTCCGGGCGCTCTGGCAATGGGCTCCCCGTAGCGAGAGAGCTGGGCGGAAGTGGTCCTTTCCATTTGGCAGCCGAGTGTAAAGTATTGCTTGAGGTTGGCCAGGTAGTTCTCGCCTTACATTTCTCTTCCCCGTGCATTAGTAGAGCTCCGTTTCACTTTCAAATTTCCAGCTGGGGATAAATTACATTGTCGTTTTGGTTTGAGATAGGAAGGAGAGGGGAAGGAGGAGGTGAGGCGGTAAGGGGCGTTCTCTCTCTTGGGTCCCGCGCCCAACTTCCGCTGGCCCAAAGAAACTATGATTTTGAACTAACAGACGTATGCTGGCATCTGCGATTACATTTTTCCTGTTTTAACAACGGCTGTGCCGGGCGCGGTGGCTCACGCCTGTAATCCCAGCACTTTGGGAGGCTGAGGCGGGCGGATCACAAGGTCAGGAGATCGAGACCACGGTGAAACCCCGTCTCTACTAAAAAATACAAAAAACTAGCCGGGTGAGGCCGCGGGCTCCTGTAGTCCCAGCTACTCGGGAGGCTGAGGCAGGAGAATGGCGTGAACCCGGGAGGCGGAGCTTGCAGTGAGCCAAGATCGCGCCACTGCACTCCAGCCTGGGGGACAGAGCGAGCCTCCGTCTCAACAACAACAACAAAAAAACAACGGCTGTGCTAGACAAAGTGGTGAAGCCCAAGTATGGAGTAACGTCATTAATTTTTTCATTCACTTATTCGAATGCTTGCTGAGTTTTGTGTTGCTACTGGTTTAGTTCTTGGGATACTGCGAGTGAACGGTTGGGCGGCGAGGCTGTTGTTAAAAGAAGGGCCCTGCACGGTGGCTCACGCCTGTAATCCCAGCACTTTGGGAGGCCGAGGCGGGAGGATCACTTAAGGTCAGGAGTTCGAGACCAGCCTGGCCAACACGGCGAAACCCTGTCTGTACTAAAAATACAAAAATTAGTCGTGCGTGGTAGTGTGCGCCTGTAGTCCCACCTACCCGGGAGGCTGGGGCACGACAATCACTTGAACCCGGGAGGCGGAGGCGGAGGTTGCAGTGAGCCGAGATCGTGCCACAGTGCACTCCAGCCTAGCGACAGAGCGAGAGTCCGTCTCAAAATGAAAAAAAAAAAAAAGAAGAAGAAGTTCATAGTATATTAGTGGTAAGTGCTGTGGGAGAAGGAAATAGGAATGTCCTAGGGCTAAAGGGCTAACGCAGTTTTATGTAGGATTATCAGGTCAGTTAAACTTGACATTTAACCAGAAATGTGGAGGTGAGGAAATCAGCCGTAGAGATGTTCGAGTGTAAGAATTCCAGGCAAAAGGGACACCCAATGCCTAGACCCTAAGAGTATCTGGGTTATTGGGGGACTTGCAAGGAGGCTCTTGAAGAAGAACAAGCAGGGCAAGTAGGAGATGGGGAGGCTTGAATCGGGTAGGATCTCTCGTCATTACTTCTGTAGCTGGGTTTTTATTACGTAGAGGTTGCCATTAGAGTATTTTTTTTATTTTTATTTTTTATTTTTTTGACGGAGTCTCGCTCTGTCACCCAGACTGGAGTGCAGTGGCACAATCTTGGCTCACTGCAGCCTCCGCCTCCCGGGTTCAAGTGATTCTCCTGCCTCAGCCTCCCGAGTATCTGGGACTACAGGCGTGTGCCACCACACCTGGCTAATTTTTGTGTTTTTAGTAGAGATGGGGTTTCGCTATGTTGGCCAGGCTGGTATCGAACTCCTGACCTCAGGTGATCCACCCGCCTCGGCCTCCCAAAGTGTTAGAATTATAGGCGTGAGCCACCGCGCCCGGCAAGGATTTTTATTTAAAATATGCAGTAAAGATGAGCGTGTGTGAGTTAAGACAGAAAAATGAGCCTAATTCTTTTTTTCTTTTGGGACTAGAGACTTATTTTTAAACTGGCTGTAAGGCTCTAAGAAATTACGTAGTCTTTCCTGAAACCACTAAGAGGAAAAATGGTAAGTTTTGAACAATTTTTATGAAATGTCTTTCATTGTAAGTAATTTTTAGAAATTCAGTCAAGGGCAATAAAAGTGCATGGAAATTGCAGTGGCAAGATAGAGAAATTGTATACCATTATTCCACTTAATATGGAATAATTCTTTTAAAAAATACACAAAATTACTTTAAAATTACTTTAAAATTCTTTAATGTTGTCACTTAAAATGCACAGAATTTAGTTTCGCTCTTGTTGCCCAGGCTGGAGTGAAGCAGCATGCTCTCGGCTCACTGCAGCCTCTGCCCCCTGGGTTAAAGTGATTCTCCTGCCTCAGCCTCCCAAGTAGCTGAGATTACAGGCACCTGCCAGCACGCCCAGCTAATTTTTTGTATTTTTAGTAGAGACAGGGTTTCGCCATGTTGGGCAAGCTGGTCTCGAACTCCTGACCTCAAATGATCTGCCTGCCTTGGCCTCCCAAAGTGTTGGGATTACAGGCGTGAGCCACCACGCCCGGCCAGAATTTACCTTTTATGGAGAAAGGCTGATTACAAGATAGATAGAAATGGAAAGGGAGAGTTGAAGGAGCAGAAGAGAATAGACAGGTCTGACAATTTTAATTGGATTATTTTGCTCTAGATCTAAAGTGGGCAACTAAGCTGGGCGCAGTGGCTCACACCTGTGATCCCAGCACTTTGGGAGGCTGAGGTGAGATGATTGCTTGATCCCAGGAGTTCAACACCAGTTTGAGCAACATAGTGAGAACCCTGTCTCTACTTTAAAAAAATAAAATAAAGTGGGCAACTAGAACCTGAAGTAGAAAAAGCAATGAGAATAGTGCCCTGCTTCTCCCTCACACATCTTTAACCTGGTCATATTCTCTAACTGCTACATACTATTTAAGAAGAAGGCTGGGCGCAATGGCTCACACCTGTAATCCCAGCACTTTGGGAGGCCTAGGCAGGTGGATCACTTGAGGTCAGAAGTTCGAGACCAGCCTGACCAACATGGCGAAACCCTGTCTCTACTAAAAATACAAAAATTAGCTGGGTGTTTTGGCATATGCCAGTAATCCCAGCTACTTGGGAGGCTGAGGCAAGAGAATTGCTTGAACCCAGGAGGTAGAAATTGTAGTGAGCAGAGATCACGCCACTGCACTCCAGCGTGGGCGACAGAGCAAGACTCCATCTCAAAAAAAAAAAAAAAAAAGGGAGAAATGAAAAAGGAACCCTCCAAATTGTTTTCTCCCTCTCTGGAATACAGTATTATATCAAGGGGTATACAGGTTACAGAAAAACAGGTACAACAAAAACAAAAAGCAAGCAAGAAAGCACTGTGGGTATCTCTGAGCATTTAGGATTTTAGAAACACTGACACTTGTTATATTTTTGTTAGTCGAGAAAGGAATTATTTTTTAACCTTATTTCTCAGAATTAAATTACCTAAGGAAAATGGTGGAAATTATGTTTTGAAAGATCATTTTCTCATCATTTTTCTATAAATAAGGATGTTGGTGAATTGCCATGTACATCAATAATACATAACAATTGTTTTTATTTTTCTTGATAAAATTCAAAGTTAAAATCTTTCCATCAAAATATTTACTTCCAAATTTTTATCATGGATACTACTTAACCCTAACATTTATATTCTGCAGTTTTTTCTCTATGTTGAGATCAATTTTGAGGAAAAAGTACAACTTAGTTCTAAGAGCTGCTTTGTGGACGAGTCATCTCTGAAGCAGTATTTCTGTCTGTTTTTATTCAGATTATCATCTTGAATATCCACATAGGGAAATAAACAATGCATAAAGTCACCTAAAGAAATTTCATTTGTTCTCACATTTTCTCTCCTTTTTAGTCTGTGACACTGCATACAGATGTAGGTGATATTAAAATTGAAGTCTTCTGTGAGAGGACACCCAAAACTTGTGAGGTAAGTACCATTTACATATTCAACTTCAGTTAATACAACAAGATAACCACTTTGGAATTGAATAATCTAACCTAAATAACAACAACAAAACTTTCTGTAAAACCATTGTTAAGGAAAACCAGCCATCATAACTTCTGGCCTTATTTCCACTTGTTTGTTCAATGTCAAATGTGGATCAAAGAGAAGGTAGATAATTTTTCGGTAACGATAGAGTAGCCAGTATCTTTTTCTTTTGACTGATTTTCCTCGGGAAACATAATCATTAGGACATTATATTACTTTTTTCTTTCTTTATTTTTTATTTATTTATTTTTTTTTGAGACAGAGTCTTGCTGTGTCCCCCCAGGCTGGAGTACAATGGTGCGATCTCGGCTCACTGCAACCTCCGCCTCCCGGGTTCAAGCAATTCTTCTGCCTCAGCCTCCCAAGTAAGTGGGATTACAGGCGTGCACCACCATGCCTGGCTAATTTTTGTATTTTTAGTAGAGACAGGATTTCACCATGTTGGCCAGGCTGGTCTCAAACTTCTGACCTCAGGTGATCCATGCACCTCAGCCTCCTAAAGTGCTGGGATTACAGGCATGAGCCACCGCACCCGGCCTTTTTTCTATTTTTTCAAGACAGAGTCTTGCTCTGTCGCCCAGGCTGGAGTACAGTGGCATGATCTTGGCTCACTGCAACCTCCGCCTCTGGAGTTCAAACAATTCTCCTGCCTCAGCCTCCCAAGTACCTGGGATTACAGGCACCCACCACCATGCCCAGCTAATTTTTGTATTTTTTTTAGTAGAGAAGGGGTTTCACCATGTTGACCAGACTGGTCTCAAACTTCTGACCTCAGGTAATCTGCCTGCCTCAGCCTCCCAAAAGTGCTGGGATTATAGGCATGAGCCTCTGTGCCCGGCAGAATATTATATTAAAGAATTGTTGTATATATATATATTTTTTGAGACAGGGTCTTGCTGTGTCGCCCAGACTGGAATGCAGTGGTGCAATCACGGCTCATTGCAGCCTCAACCTCCTGGTCTCAAGCAATCCTCCCACCTTGGCCTCCCAAGTAGATAGGACTACAGGTGTG